GGGCGGCAGTGGAACTGGTACTTGCGGGAGGGGCTTCCCCCTGCCTCCCCCAGCCTCAATTGTTTGCTCCAGTTGCTTAAGATGGTGTCGTGGACTTCATCCCCCTCTTGAGCACTTACTGGGTACCAGACTTTTTAAGACATGAGCCTTCAATCTTGAAGGCTTGTGAAAACCCCCCTCTCCACAAGAGGAAGCAGGGGCTTCCCTGGGTTCATTACTGTTTACACCACCATGATCAGATATGACTAAGTGATCTGCTAATTGTGCTAATCAGTGTTAAACCCCATCATAACCCCTGGCCCCCTCTGCATCCCCCCTGCACCCCGCCTGCCCCCACTGCACCCCTCCTCTGCTCCCGGCACCCCGGCCTGGGGGTTGCAGAAGCAGCCTGCACTGGAACTCCAGCCCCCATCCCAACTTCTAAACCCCTGTCCGAGCACAGCCTGTTCTTCCTTCAAGCCAGTCCTGCATGATGAGGTGAGACCCAACAAGTGGCCCAGACCAGCAGTGCCCCATCTATTTTTGGCAGCAGACCCTTTACCTCCAGTGAAGTCTGCCACCTGTCCTCGTGCAGGCCCCTTCCTTTCCTGGCTTCTTGCTGTCAGAGGAGTCCCTGGCCACCTCTGGGAAGAGACGAGCTGCGGCAGGCCCTTCTCGTTTTCTAGCCAAAGTGTTGGCTCCGGGCCGATGCTGCCTGGTACCCTTCAGGAGGCAGTACTCTCTCTGGCTTGGTCACCAACTTGAGGGCAGGGCCTCTCCCCTGGGGCTGCCCATAGTGGGTGCACCCAGGCCCTTCCTTGCCAGCCCTCAAGGACGTCCCTCCTTCCCTGGCCCTCTCCCACGCCCTCATGCCCCACTCTACCTACAAGCTTTGAGCAGCAGGAGCCACCATTTGGTGTCCCCTCCTCACTTGTCCTAAGTCAGGTTCATCTTCACTAGTCCCCTCATGGTCTCAACCTGTGCTGTCCCCTCCGGTGGCCACTGGCCAAATGTGACTTCTAAGCACTCGAAATGTGCCTAGTCCAAATTGAGGTACGTTCTAAGTATAACTTACATACCAGTTTTAAGGCTTAGTACAAAAAAAGAATGCAAAACATCTCCTTAATAATTTTCATTTCAATTATATGTTCAAGTGATAATACTTGAGATATATCGGGTTAAATAGAGCATATTACTAAAATTAATTTTACTCACTCTTTCTTTTATGCTATCTGGCTACTAGAAAATTTTAAATCCGAGGAGAAGCTTCCAGCCTTCTCCGTAATGCCTGCAGCTGAGTCTCATGGACGAGGGCAGGTGGGTTGGGGGAAGGTGTGAAGGGATCTTTCACGCTGCCGCGCTGCTGGTCTCTCCTGGAATATCTGCTCTTCAACCCATGCTACCCAGTCAGCGTTCATTTTTGTCCCAAACCCCACTCGGGTCCACATGAGAAACTCATGTTCCTCCCTCGCTCACACAGAGGTGTAAATGACTGACTACACTTGGAGGGAGCGCAGCAGGGGCCTGAGTCCAGCTTACACCAAGCTCTTCCCAGGCAGTACATGGTCTCCCTCTCTGGTCCAAGGTGCCATGCAGACAGGGCATCCTGCGCTCAGTGGATGGAAGGACCATGTGTAGTCAAGGGAGAAAACAAAACTTGCACCCCCAGGATTCTGGAGGTCTGTCCCCATCTTCTGGAAAGCACATATTTGCTTATTATCTGACACTCTTGGACAACGGGGACAGAGATGGGTCCAGCCTTTAGGTGGCTTCAGTGCTGACCAGGCCAGCAGGGGACAAGATAAAGCCACAAGCTCCATCTATGGGGGCTGGCCCTGAGGATCCTCAGGGAGATCCAGGGAGCAAGGATGCTGAAGGCACAGATCTGCAGGGAGGAAAGCTGAGACCAGCGAAGCTCAGAAGCAACGGTCCAGCATCCAGCCCTGTAGGACAAGCCTGGGGGCTGAGGAGCAGCTGCTCCAGCCAGAAGGCAGGCTGGCTGGCCAGAAGGAAGGAGAGTGGCAGAGAAGTTGAGCTGGGTCGTGCAAAGCCTTGAAGGCCATTTTCAAAAGTCTGGACTTTATCCAGAAGGCAGCTGAGGGTTTCTGAGCAAAGCGGTGACATGCTCAGAGCTGTATGGAAGCTGGCGGCTCTGTTCCCATACGCGTGCACCTGGAGGGGCTGAGGACAGAGATGGCCTGTCAGTGACTCACCTGGATGCACAGCAGGTGAGGCTTGTCAATGATAATGGTAAAGCCAGGCTCACCCAGCGTTCAGTGAGCCCTCTGTGGGAAGTTCTACGTTTATGACCTTGTGTAATCTGTACAGCTATGCGGGGAGGTGGCACAGAACAGCTGAAGACTATTGGATTTCTTAAATGCATGAGTGAATGAACGAATGAAAGTTGGTTGACAATTCCAGCCCCCAGTCCTTAGATTTTGTAGCGAATGCATTGGGCTAAATTGCACTGGATAATCAGTTTTATGGGTTGGATTCTGAGCTGAGGCCCCCTTTGGAGGTGCACAGAGCCTTGCTGGATACGAGTTAATGGAGCTCTTGCAATGAGCATGGGATGCTAAGAAGAAGGGGGAACACAGGTAAGGGGCAAGACGCAGGGCCCTGGTTTTGCAGAAAGAGGCCTGGCCCAGCAGCCTCAAGCCTATCCCTGCAAGCGCCCCTCCACACCTCTCCTGAATCCCCCCACAGCAAGCCCTCTCCAGCTGGCTCCAGCCTCTCTCCCAGTCCTGGAATTAATAAAGACTGAGCAGACTGCGGTTTGCAAGTCTGAAAGCCGGTTCCTGCCCACGTCATTGCCCTGAGACGAGTGGGGCCCAGCTCCTCCCCAGCACCCCATCCTTCCCCCTTCCTGGGAGGGCGCAGGCATACAGATGTACCCCCAGGTCTTCTCCCCTCCCCACCATCAAGGACATTCAGGCACTAAGCCTCAGATCCTGACCCTGAGCAGCCTCTACCTCCCCAACAAGGGCTAGCTCGGGCTCATGATCTCCGTCAGCTACCCCCAAAACACCCCAAATGGCACACCCTGGAAGTAAAAGCTGCACACGCACTGTGCAAACAGCTGTAAGACAACTCTTCCGGCGTGCCCACCCCTTCCAAACTTCCAGAGTGCCCACCAGCTGAGAGAAGGAAGAAGGGGTAGCCCAGGGTCCCAAGGTGGCCCAGGAGAGAGCCTAGCCTAATAGTTACTGTATAAACAAGAGGGGTGCTTGCAGAACTCGTGGTAGTGATAGTGGCATTATTACCAGTACCAGCACCAGGTGAGTACAGAGCATTTTGGATCTAGCAGGTACAGTACAGAAATATATGATCACATTTAATTATCTTTGCAATAACCTTCCTAGGTAGGGATATTAATCACCGTTTGACAGAGAAGGAAACTGAAGTTCTATGAAAAGGTGACCCCACTCGAAAGTGCTAGAACCAGAATTGAGGCCTAGTCCGCTTCCAGTGCCTGCCTTTGGCATCTCCACTCTTGGCTGCCCTGGTAGCCCTGCAGACTGCCACAGTGCTCCTGGCTGGAGGACCGGTCATTTAACTCCCTCCCTCGATGCTGTGGCTGTGCTTTGCCTCATTCTTCATCTGAGTGAGGAAGGTGGAAAGAAGCTCTCCGATACCGTGGCCTCAACTTCTCCCCTCCCAGGCAAGTACCACTTCCTCTCTCCTACCCTGTGGCACCCAAATTTCTCTCCTCCCCCATCCCTCAAATCCCCCAGGGTCCTCATCCTGCCCAGTTAGGAGGGAGCAGCCCCCCTCCTTCTGGATATGCTGGTCCCAGCTGTTTCAGCACAGGGCCGCCCCCTCCTGGCCACCCGAGGAATGTCAGTCTTGAGCATTCTGGGGCAGGGAGGGAACCAGCAGTCTAGGAGCTCCCACGTCTGGTTTGGGTGCTTACAGTGCTCAGTGTTGCGACAGGTGGGGGCCAAGTGATAAAGGGAGGCTGGGTCTCCTATCAGTCTTGGTGGGGTCCTCAAGCCCTGTTCTCCAACAGGCACCTTGGGGGTCCAGCCTGATCTTGGCCAGACACTGTGGCCTGCACAGGCCTCTATGTGGGACTGTGACCTTGATCCATGTAAGTGGAACCCCTGAGGTGTGTCAGGGTCTCTCACATGTCCCCCAGATGCTGCAGGAAACACCACCACCATGGTCTCAACTCCCAGGTCATTTGCCTGGTGTAGCCCCTTGGCCTCTGCGGCCATGGATCACAGACCTGACAAACTGCCCCACCCGACGCCACCCCAGCTTCAGGCAGGAGGCTGTGACCTTGGCTCCTGCAGAATGGAGCCATGTATTGTGTCAGGGTCCCCCTTCTCGTTCCCAGATGCCTCAGGAGATAACAACAACATGATTTTACCTTCCAGGCTATTCTGCCTATAGCAACCTCAACCTCTGTAGACAGCCCCAGCCCCCCAGACCTACCCAACACCCCACTTCCCCCGCTTTAAGCAGGGCCTGTCTCGGGCCAGGCCTGGGGGTGTTGGGGAAGTCTGGAGGGCCAGGGTGGGGGCAGAGGCGCGGGACAGCTGGCCTGTGTCCCCACACTGGGCCCGGGGCCCAGCCGGAGGGGCGGGGGCCTGGCCACTTGGGCCTTGGCTGGGGCTGGATTTTTGGCCGGGCTGCAGGGCCCTCCCTCCTGCTTCCTCTCCCGAGGGCTGTCCTGGCAGAGGCCCCCCTCACACTTTCTGGCGGGAACAGGGCCAGCAGTGAGAGAACAGCCACAGAGGGAAAGAGGGAGAGAGATGAGGGAAAACTGTGTGTGTGTGTGTGTGTGTGTGTGTGTGTGTGTGTGTGTGTACGCGCACGCGTGAGCGAGTGTGTGTTTTAAGGAAAAGAGCCCACAGTCCAGTCCACTCAGACCCAGCCTGGGAGGCTTGTGAGCCGGCCTTTCGTAATTGCCCCCCTCCCCACGGCCCCCTCCCCCAGGCCTCCCCCTTCTCAGGCCCTCCTGCCCGCCCTCTCTCCCTCCCTTCTTCCCTCGCAGCCGAGGAGGCAGCAATTACGCTTTGGGGATAAAACGAGGCGCGGAGAGCAGGCTGGGGCATTTCTCCCTGAGATGGCGGGTCCGACAGCTGCAGCCCTGCGGCCCGGAGTCCTCCTGCTCCTGCTGTCCATCATCCACCCCTCGCAGCCTGGAGGTAGGCCTCACCCGTTCCCGGAGCTGCCCGCAGATCCTCCAGCCTCCCGGCCAGGTGTCTGGGCTAATGGATGAGAGGGTGCTCTTCACCCCCGGCATCCTCCAGGGATTACAAGGCAGGAGCCCAGCAGCCCCTGGATCCTTAGAGCCTCCCCTCCCAGGACCTAGCCCATTCTGTGGTTGAACCTGTCACATAGATACACCACAATGTGGGATGGTCCCAACAGTGACCAGGTTCTGCTGCCCTGAGAAGACCGAGGGGCTCCTGCTCTGCCCCTGCTCTGCCCCTGCTCTGCCCCTGCTCTGTCCCTGCTCTGTCCCTGCTCTGTCCCGGGTGCTCTCCCGGGGGGCGGGGGGTGTTGGGAGCATGCTGTGGAAGGACCAGGCACCAGCAGTCTGCATACCTGTGGACCCAGCCCAGTGAGCACATATGCCCTGCAGGCAGGGGATCTGAGCTAAAGGCCAGCCAAAGTAAGCTATGTGACTTCAGCAGGTTCCTTGTCCCCTGGGAAGTCAGAGACCTCTCTGAGGAAGGTCAGGGCTAGTTGATTATGGGGTTGCCAGTTGGAAAGCTGCTCCTGTGGTCTGTCCTTGGTGAAAAGGGCTGGGACTCCTGAGTATATGTGTGAAGTGCGTGTGTGCACATGCGTACACATGCGTACATAAATGAGGGTGTTGCATGCTAATGCACAGGTGTGCATGAGGGTATATGCCCAGATATGTCACCAAATAATGGAGGAGATTTCTGAGATAAATATCTGTCCACAGGTTCATCCCTGGACAGGTGTATGTGTATGTGTGTGTACATGTGTAGGTATGTATTTGTGTGGTTGGGGGCGGAGATTGCAGGGTATGTGAAAATGCCTGTTGGCATGCACAGAAGTCATGGGAGAACTGGTGTCCAGGTGTGTCACTAGGTGTGGATTGTCCCTGTATGGACGGCTGTGCCTGTGAGAGTATGTGTGTGTGTGTAGTAGTAGTAGTACTGGCAGGAGGAGTATGTCCTGGCAGGAGTAATACAAGAGAACACAGGGAAGCTGGGTGAGGTGTCTATCTCCTGGCAGGGGGAGCGTGGCCGATGGCCAGGCTGGAGAGGACCTCGGGGCAGTCTTGGACCATCTAGGGTATGTCCTCCCGCAGGCCCCAAGAGTCCCCTCATGGAGCTGCTACACACTTTAGGGGACCCTGGGAGTGACACACCAGGGACCCCTGTAGGTGCTCCTGGCCATGGGAGGAGGGAGGTGAAGACTCAGGAGTCATTTGCTGGGGTGCATGGGGTGGAGTCTGGCCCCTGGGAGAGTCCTCCTTGCCATGAGAACCAGATCTTCAGTGCAGACCAGCATGGGGGGGCGGGGGACTCCGGGTGGAGCAGGACCAGGCAGGAGGGCAGGGGAGGAGGACCAGGCAGGAGCAGCAGCTGTTTCCGTGAGATTGTCTGGATGGGACTGCTGGGAATAGGGGCTTCCTGCACAGAGGTCGTCAGCTCCTGGGCCTGAACGACGCTAAGGGATGTGCACGCCATCATGTGGGGTCTGGCGGGGGGAGAGAGACAACCCAGAGGACCATCCACCCCACTGTCTGAGAGCAGCAGCTCTAGACCTGCTTGAACCTCCCCCTTCCAAGGCGTAGCGCTGAACACCTCCCTGCCTTCTCAGAGCTCCCACCTAGAGCATGACAGTTAAGCTCCGCAGGAACCCTAAGAGTTAAGAATTACTCTCTTCACTTTATAATGGGGAAATTGAGGCACAGACTGGCTAAGGCAGCCCCAGGCACTTCAGTACCAGTCAGCTCTCTGCCCTGGGCAAAAGGATGAGGGGGAGGGGGCAACACCTGGGCAGATTTAGGACTAGCATTGAGTCCTCTAGGGTGGATATGCCCTAGGGCAGAATGCATCTTCTCCTTGTCCCCTCAATGGCACTGGGAAATGCTCAGCTGTCCTTGTTCTTCTCTTGCAAACAGAAGTCACAGCTCTGTCTCAAGTGGTAGAATGAATCCTGGGTCCAAATAAGGGGTCCATGAATTGATGAGGTCATTAGAGGTTTGTGCCCAGAGCCTACCAAAGTCTAGAGAGGTCAAGGAGTAGGAGGGGCTGAGGCGCGCGCGCGCGCGCGCGCGCACGCACACACACACACACACACACACACACACACACACAGCCACCTGACTGGCTCTCCTGGGGGAATCCAGCTTCCCCCCAACCCCAAGAGAGTGTCAGCCCCACATTACCAGTGGAGGCAAGAAAGGGGCTCCCTGGGATGACTCTGTAATAGAAAGAGCTATCTAGACCCAGTTAGGACGGGTCAAAAGTAACTTTAAGGACCAGCTGTCCCAGACCCCCATACCATTTAAAAAGAGAAAGAGAAACTAAATCAGGCATCTCCCATCCCCCAGAAATATTATCAGGTTTGGTTTTTGGTGTTTGTTTTTTAATCTCAGAACTGAGGATGATTTGGAAGAAGGTTTTTGAACCCTGGCTGCGTATTGGAGTTACCCAGGGAATTTTAAACAATTCTGATGTGAAGGTCCCACCCAAGAATCCCTGTTTTATTTGGTCTGTAGAAGGACCCTGACATGGAGGTTTTGTCAAAGCTGCCCAAGAGACGCCAGTGAGCCTCTAGAGCCAGGGACCTCTGGCTTAGGGGTTCACCCTGCTCTCTGCGTCCACTGAGGCCAAGGCAGGAGGGCAGACGTGCCTTGGGAGTAAGGGAGAATAGAGTCATTCACTGGAGGACAGTTTGTTTTTGAAAAGCCCTTGGCAGCCTTTCTCCAAACAAACAACAAACAGCTTCGCGTGGTCTTATCTGCTCCCCAGGCCTGCCCTTTGGACTTGGGCTTGACTAAAACCCCCTCCCAAGGACCGCTTGCCCACTGCTTGCTCCCAAACAGCCTTCTCCCAGATCTTTGAACTTGGAGCCCAGGCCCCAGGCAGAAGGCTCTGCGTGTGGCTGGGTTCAGCTACGAGTCCTCAGGAAGGCACTTAATTTCACTGGCTCTTGGTTTCCCCGGCTGTAAAATGGGGAGAAACATCCCTGCCCTATTATCGCCTAAGGCTGATGGGAGGTTGCAGAGAAGAAATATCTGCCAAAAATGTATCAGATAAGAGGACTGTGGGAATATGAATTTTTTAAATGGTGTATCTTCTTATTTAGATTTTGCTAACTTGGGCTGATCAACCTTTGTAATTAGTGCACATTTATACGCTTTCATTTCCCTTTTGCCCGTGTTTTGTCTAGTGGGGAGCAGAGTGCAGTGATGGTGGAAGCAGACAGGACTGAGGCAGGGGGTGCCCGGGGGCATTCCAGAAAACTGAGGGAGGCTTCACAGCAGGAGTGACATCTGAGTCAGACCTTTAAGGAAAGATCAGTGTTTAAGGGGCTATTACTGAATGACAGGTGAGCCTCAGCCTATGGGGCTCTGGGAGGCAGAATTAGATAGAGGAGCAGATTCTCTCTTGCTCAGAAGAACTCTATGCAGGTAGAGCGGACAGTATCAGGAAGTGGTGATTTTCCTGTCACTAGAGGCGTGCAAGCAGGAACACTAGAGGATGTTTGCAGAAGGAGGTTTCAGCCCAGGCCGGAAGACTGTTATGATCTCTGAGAGTCTAGGATCATGATTCCAAGACGCAAGAGACAAGTTCACCCTGGACTAGCCGGTGAAATAAGCCAAACCCACATAAAACAAGACAAGCGTGCTGCAGGCCAACTGCTTTGGGCCAGCTAAGCAGTGAGAATCACAGGCTCAGAGAAGGCAGCGGGGAGCATCAGAGCTCAGTGCTGGTGGAAGGGTAGGGCTTGGAGAGAGGAGAAGGCATTCCTGGCAGGAGGGCGTGCTCAGGCCAAGGAGTGAAGATGGCACACTGGGGCATGAGGGGGGACTGCTGCCTTTTTGAAAGCCCTTGACTGACTACCATCTTATTATATTCTCACCTCTCTTGCAGTTGAAGAGAGGAGGCAGGGCAGGGACCCTCTACACCCACTAAGTCTTCTCTGTTTCCTCAGTGCAAAATGGAAATCAAAACCCAGAGCCTCCTAGGCCATCATGGTTCAGGCGTGGAGTTTGGCATATGCTGTGGGGATTTGAATCATGGGAGTGGAGAATGGGGAGAGGAGATGGTAGGCGCTGGGGAGAAAGGAAGCAAAGGAGCAGCTGGCAGGCCAGGGAGGGGCCTGGTCACAAGCCGGTGTGGGAGAGCAGAACCCCAAGAGAGGAAGTGGGGGTTCAGCCAGGCCCAAATGCTAGACCAGGCCAAGTTGGGAGACCCTAAGGCTGGTCAGGGATAGAACAGGTTAGATCCAGACCCACAGGCAGCATCTTTGCCTCCCCTCCACCTAATTCACCCATCATTTATTGAACACCTACTGTATACCCATCCCCATGCTGTGGAGTGACATGGATACAAAGAGTCACCATCTCTCTCTCTCTCTCTCTTTTTTTTTTTTTTTTTTTTTAGCAATTACTGTCTGCCAGGTCCAGGGCAAGACCCATCACTTAAATGAAACTTTGTACTCACAACAACTCACAACAGCTTTGCAAGACAGTGGTTATCGGCCCCACATTGCTGAAAAGGAAACTGAGGCTCAGAGGGGTTAAGTGACTTGCCCAAGGTCACACAGATGGTGAAAAGTGGCACAGCCAAGGGTAGAGGCGGACAGGTCTGCCCTGAGCCCCTTGCTCCCCCCAACCCCCTACTCTGGACCTGGAGAGGAGGGAGAGAGGCCAGGGCGGAGAAAGGCCCAGAGTGCACCCGGGAAAGGCACAGAAGAGACAGCACTCAGAGCTGGAGGCCAGAGCCGGGAAGGCGAAGGCATCAAAGGCTCGATGCGGGCCATGTGTGTGCTTGGCAAGGGATGACAGGGCTGCGGCGCTCATTCCCAGGAGGCCCACCCTCCTGGGGCCACCGCGTCGAGCCCCCGAGGCTGTGACCAGATTTCTTGCACACTCCAGGTCTGGATTGCAGTTCCTGGGGGACCGCAGACCCTGGGGGCGGATGATGGCGCCGGGACCTTGGCACAGGGTGGCGGTGACAGCTTGGCATTCCCTGTCCTGCTGGCCTGTGGCTGAGGCTGACAGGGCCCTGGGGCCAACAGGCCAGCTGTGCCGCATTGACAGGGCACAGAGGCCAGATGTCTGTCCATGAGGCCTCTGGATATGCTACAGAGCTGACCGACACTGCCCCCCAACCCTACTCGTGCCCTTTTCAACAGGGTGGTGCTGGGGCTTGGGCTGGGGCATCGGCAAGGCGGCTTGTCAAGGTCAGGGCCACTCTGAGGTGGTGGCGTTAGGGCCTGGTCTGCACCAGGGTCATCCGCTGCCATGACCGGGCAAGGGTCTGGGGCCCGGCATCGTCGCATTCCCCAGTGAGAGCTTCACTGCTCCGTGGGGGCTGAACTCGTGATCTTGGCTGGGCAGACAGTCCCTGGCCTGGCCAGTGAATTAGCTTTTCCTTAGGAAACTATTCACTTTGCTCATTCATGGTGTCCCCCTCTGGGGCCCGGCGCCTCCTAAGACAGCCGTGTGTCAGACAGCCAGAACCCCACCCATCCACTGTTGCCCAGTGGCTGAGGACGCTGACCTCACGCCGTCCTATCAGTGTGGGAATGGCTGCATTTTTACTGGCAGCGGCCACATTTCCTTACTGCTCACTTACAGCCCGGCCTGCCCTCCCACAGCCCTGGCTCCTGCCCATGCTGCTCAGGGCTGGAGAGGGTTGGCTGCCCAGGGAAAGGCGCTCAGACCCAGCCTCCTGCCCGGCCCTCTCCAGGGAGATAATTGTCTGAGTTTGAATCTAGGCTCCATCTCTTTCCAGCTGTGTGGCCCCAGGCATGTCCCTTAACTTCTCTGAGACTGATTTCATTTCTGTTAAGACAAAGCTAGTAATCCCAGCCCTTCCCACCTCACAGGGTCATTTTGCAGAGCATAAATGAAAATAATGCTTTGAAAACAAAAACGGCTTTGCGGACATGCAATATTATTATCATCGTTGTCGTCATTATTGTTACCATGTTTTTATTAGTTCTGGCTAATAGGGGACTCTACCTACTTCCTTTCAGGGGTCCCAGGGGCTGTTCCTGGAGTAGTTCCTGGAGTAGTTCCTGGAGGAATTCCCGGAGTTCCTGGAGCCATTCCCGGAGTAGTTCCTGGAGCCATTCCCGGAGGGGTTCCTGGAGGAATTCCTGGAGGAGTCTATTACCCAGGTAATGTACGTGAAATGCCCACTACCCAGGTGAGGCAGATTGCGAGTCCATTCTTGGGAGATGCACGTTTTGATACTGCTGAAGGGAAGAAACGTTGTCACGCCTACCACAGAGGACCCACAAGTCATTCCTACTTAGAAAAGCAGTTTACATGACACTGTTTTACACCTGTTAAAGGCGTAAATCTTCTGAAAGATGAAACAGTGCTTTTGAGGCTACAGGAAAGTGGGTGTCTTCACGCATTCCTGCCATTCACAGTCTTCAAACCATTGACCTTGCTCTTGGAAGTGCATTCAAAGGAAATAGTTGAAAAGGAGAGACAAAGAATGATCTGCTGCAAAGTTTATAGGAGTGGTGTTTGCACAACCGTGAAACAAGAAACCCACCTGACTGGAGGGTGTGATTAAGTAAACTCTGAAATCTTACCCAGTTACTAAAAAGTATGAGTATGTTATCTGTTGCGCAATATGGTGAAGTGTTTTTCAAGTAAAAACAATATAAAAGTGACACCCATGTGTAGATGGAGACTGGGAACCCCCCAAAGCCACCAAAAGAAAACAAGCAGAATGTTGGAGCAATGCCATCAGAGGGCCATATTTTCTTTTAATTGAGGGGGGAAAAAAAGCATAATGCTTTAAAGTAGATTGAAAAATCAAAGTAATATTTTCAACACTTAAAAAGTATTGAGTGTTCAGAACTGACACGGAAGGGAGGGCAGCTACCAGCAGGCTCTCGGGCACAAACTGGCACAGGGCGATTAGCCCTAGGACACAAATGAGGAAACTGAGGCTGAAAAAGCTAAGGCTTGCCTGAGGTCATGTAGCTAGGCAATGATGGGTTTGACCATGGATTGACGGGTGGCTTTCTGGCAGGGGCACTGTTGCTTCTCGCTCTCTCCCCCCCACCCCCTGCCGCCCCGCTCCCTTCCGCACCCCCCCCACCCCCCCAACAGGGACTGGTCTCAGAGACCTGGGAGGAGGAGGTGAGCTCAGAAACCAAATTTGCTTCCTCGCTGACTGGGACTAGTATCACCCTAGCTCACACAGGTCCTCAAACCTCAGAACCCCAGAAGGCCCAGGCATCAAGGGCCCCCTCGTTTTACAGCCTGAGGGTCTAACCGGGAAGGACTGGTCCGAGAACGGGAGCCCACTGGCCCCTCGAGCACGTCTCCCAGGCTTCTTCCCTGGCGGCCCCTGCCTGCTTTCATATTTCTTTTGATCCTCCACAACACTCCTGAAGTGCTGGCTGAGTGGATATTATTGTCCCCTTCAGAGGCTGAGAAACTGAGTCTGAGAGAGTAAAAACCGCAAATCAAGGCTAGAGTTGGGCTTCCCACTAGACATCTAGATCCTGGGCTCCCAGCAGCCCCCTGTCTGAAGGGAGGGCTGTCCCTCACTGCTCTTTTAGGACTTGGATAGGAAGACCCCACAATGCCCTTGCTTTGCCCTCAGGGGATAAATACTAAGACAGGTGGGCTGGGGCTCCCCATTCACTACTACCTTTTTCCTCCACAGGACTGGGGCCTGGAGGCAAACCGCCCAAGCCAGGTAAGACCTGAGGCCTTAGGGAACTGAGAGTGGGCCAAGGGGCAGGAGAGGGGAGGGCCCACAGAGCTGTGGTCCTAGCAACGGAGCCACTGGGCAAAAGGCAGGAAGGAATTGGTGGGCAGTAGCAGTCCCCCAGGTATGAGCAGTCTGGGGCTGGGCCAAAGAACTCCCAGGACAGGAAGCTGGCAGCAGCTTGTGTGAGGAGTGCCCAGCATTTATCCTATATGTGCCCAGCTGCCCTGTCCCTTCCGCACAGGGTCTCAGAAACATCCCTGGTGCTCAGGGCAAAAGTAAGGATTGATGTTCCAGTGGCCCCAAGCCTATGGATGTCACTCTGAGGCTCAGACACAGATAGTAGGCTCCAGACTCCACCTGAATGGTCCCCTGACTCCAGACCAAGCCCTCTCTAACCCCATGCCGAGGCCCTCAATATCCCTGACCTTGCTGACAATTTGAGCCCTTATCCTGATCCTGGGCTGAACCCTGACTCCAGACCAAGCCCTAAACTTAACCCCAGGTTGGACCCTGGCCCCAGATGAGCGTCCTTCTTGATCCCAGGCCCTTTCTAGCTGTGTCTAGACCATAGAGTTTTCCAGGAAGGAGATGTGACTAGATTGTTCTGGCCTTACCGAACAGGCCACCTGGGCCCACCACCAGTTCCAAAGAACACCCCCAGGAAAGAGAGAGGGTGTGTCCCTCCCAGAAGCACTGGTGGATAAGGAGCAGGCGGAGGAAATGGTGTCTCTGTCCAGACTCTTGACCCCAGTGGTGTGAGATGCTCCACATGTGGCCTTGGCATCCCCCACCCTGCTCTGTGTCTCCCTGGCTCTGGAGCCCAAGACTCTAGGACGATTTGGATGTCCAGCAGTTCTTACGAAATCCAGCTGTTCGATGAGCCAATTACAGATGAATCTGCAAGACCCAGATTCCCCTTCCCTGCAAGCCCATCTGGGTTTTGAAACTCCAGGGCTGGGGCCCGGCTAGAGAGAGGCTGGCAGGCAGGAAGCTGGGGCAACGGGTTTCCTGGAGTCTGGGGGTCTGCAAGGCTGGAGCCCTCGGAATTCACTGCTCATCCAGCAAGAACCTATATCCTGCCTCTTTGGAGGGACCTTCACAGAGTCTTTGATGGTAGAAAGAATATAGGGAAGGACTAGATAAGCCAAGGTGTAGAAGTAGGTCTGTGCTTAGCCAAGAAGACCCGAAATGTGAAGGTTGTGACTGCAAAGCAAGAGGGGAGGCTGGCTGATCCCACTGGCAGCAGGGGACACATGTCATGCTGTGATGAAACACAGGAGGGAAGACTGAGAAAACTGCATAGAGGCTTCTAATAGCTGGTAGCTAAAGTGAAGCTTTCAGTAATGATTAATGTAGACTTCCAAAAGAACTTTCAGCTCAGGGTGAAGGAGTAGACAAAAAAAAAAAAAAAAAAAAAAAAAGTCAGGACATCTCTTTCTCTCTGATGAAAGGGGGCTGGATCTCACAAAACTCCCTGAGGTCATCTTTTAGCCTAAGGACTCTGGACTACAAAGGCCTGGACAAAGCCACAGTCCTCCTCCCTCCCCCAGGCAGCTCCCCACATCCGGGCCATGGGGATGTCCGGGCCTGCCCAGTCAAGATGGAACAGGGCATAGGCCGTGTGTGTCGTGCTTAGGAACAATTAATCCCTTGGCGAGTAACGGGTAGGTGGCCTGGCAGCTGCTCCATGTGGGTCTTGGTGGCTGGCCCAGCCTGGGCTCTCAGTGGGGGACCAGGCAGCTGGGAGCCAGCAACACCCACACTCTCAGTGCTAGCTGGAGGCCAGCCACCCGTGTGAGAGGACCGGAAGGAGCAGGGCACACCCACTGGGTGCCCTGGCGTATTTCCCACAATAGGTGCTTTCTGCTCATGATCTCACTGGTCCCAGGAAGGTCAGGGACACAATGGGCATTTTGTAGGTGGGGAAACTAAGTCTGATAAAAGTGAAGTGATTTGCTCCTACATGCATGGAGTCGGCAAGGGCAACAGTATTAGAATCCAGAGCCCTCTGATTCCAGGAAGAGAGGGTTGGGCTGGCCAGGCCCCTGGGTTTCCAGCTGTGGTCAGCATCTCACTCCTCCTCTCCTCCTTTTCAGGGGCTGGACTCCTTGGGGGATTTGGGCCAGGTAAGTCCAAAGGAAGGAGGGCAAACGGGTGGAGGGTGGAGTGGGTCATGCTGGAGGGCGGACTTGCGACCAGATAGCTAGGGGGAGTGCGGGAAAAGGACAGTTGGCTGCAGAGAGGTTGCCTGTTCCCACCTCCATCTACTCCAGCCTTTCCCACTTCCGGTTCAGTTCCCATCTTCTCTTCCCAGCCCCTCTGTGGTCAGGAAGGCGTGAGCAAGCATGTCCCCTGTCCTGTTGGAGCTCAGGAAACAGGCCTGGCATGAGAGAAGCCCCTGACAGAACTGGGGAGGGGCAGGGCCTACAGTTCTGGGAAGTGAACTCCACAAGCCCCAGGCCGGACCTGCCCCACACCCTGCGTGCCTGAAAGGCAGACTAGGCAGAGTTAGAGACCCATCTTTCAGAGAGCCTGGCTGAGTTTCAGGTGGGGCCAACTCACACAAGTAGGAAATGAGTGGCGGGTGGTGGGGGCGGGGGGGACCACACCCAGCGAAAGCCAGGTAGACCCTCCAGGGCTTGGCAATCAGTTCCCAGAGAGGGCTTCCCTGGGCTCAGGACCCTGGCAGCCAGGACTGGTGCTTGCAGGAGAGATTCTCACATAATTGGAAACAAACCCGGCACGCTTGTGAACTCCAACCTGATTGCCCATCAGTCCTGGCCAAAGTCATGGAATGTCTCCTGGAGGGGGAGAAGGAGCGATTGGGCCCAGATGTGGGAAGAGGGAGCCAAAGGGACCCATTTGACTTCTCATAAACATTTTAGCATCTGTCCGAAGTATCGAGGAGGCTCCTAGACTGCAGGCAGAATGGACGGACAGATAGACAGGTGGTAGGGGAGAGAAGGTTCTCCAGATCCAAGGAAGGAGGAATGAGCTGAGCCAGGAGATAATAAAAAAAAGTAGAAGAGAGGTCTGAGGTGGGAGCTAGTGTGGGAGCAGGGCAGGGCCTGGCCTGGGTGACGTCTTGCTGGCAGACTCTACTCAGCTCCTGCCCTCACAGAAAGCCCTGCTGAGTCCCTCATTAGATGGCAGGCCTTCTAGGAGAAGCAAGGCCTGGCCTAGGTACATTATGGGGCACATGGGGTTGGGAAGTCAATGCAATTACATCTACATGGTACATAGCAGCTAGTTGCTAAGTGGTAGCTGCTCTTTTATCAGGATCAGCCCCTGAGAACCAAAGGCTTCAGTCCAGCTTAGGGTCATGAGCAGCTGTACACTGACTATAGATAGCACTGCCTGGTTCCTGCCTGCCCTCCATGAGACCCTTCCTACCCAGGATCCAGGAATGATGCCCACACATCAGTCTCTCTTCTTCTCACCCGGCTCTGTCTCCTTCCCCCTGCAGGTGTTGGCGGGCTTGCAGGAGCTGGCCCTGGGGCAGGTTAGTGTTGATACCCAAGCAAGATGCCCATCTGGGGGCTAGAGCTAAGCCCAGAGCATCTGCTTGGTATGTGGGTCAGGCCAGTCCTGGGCATGGGTGTGGGGGTGATGCTGGGACCACTAGCCCAGAGCAGCTGCCCCAAAACACAAGGAAGTCACCACTGCATCCTGCGTGTTGTTATAACGTAGTGCTAAGAGCTGGATGGAAGTGGCTGCAGAGGTCAAGGGAGCCCAGAGGAGTAGCTCAACTCAGCAGGGCTTCAGGAAGGCTCCTTGGAGGAGGGCCGGTGGAAGTTTGACCCCAAAAGATCCCTGCAGTTTTGTCAGGCTGAGCACAGCCATCTGGCACATACTGCTCCCCAACACCGAACCTGGTCCTGAGAGCAAAGGCTGCTGCTTGACGTGGAAGTCCTGTTGGGCACAGAAGATGCACCCCAAATGTGCCTCCTGGTCAGGGCTGGGTGGGCTCAGGACCTCACCCGGTCCTCCCCTCCACAGGGCTTGGGGCCTTTCCTGCAGGTGCCTTCCCAGGGGCTCTAGTGCCTGGTGGAGCGGCTGGCGCTGCTGCAGCCTATAAAGCTGCTGCCAAGGCTGGTGAGTGTGACTCTTTGGGACAGGCTGCAAGACTATCTCACCTCTGTGGGCTCTGCACTTTGCAAAAAAGCAATTCCTGGGAAGCAGGCAGGTGTATCCTCATCTCCAGTCTGCTGGGGCTCAGGGAGGCAGCCAGTCTCCAAGGGAGGCGGTGGTAGGATCAGATATCAACACTGGGCTCTCCACACACACCCACGTCCCTCCTGCATGACTCCTCGCCTCTCCCACTCCTGGCTCTGTAGGTGCTGGGCTTGGCGGTGTGGGCGGACTCGGTGGTGTTGGCGGCGTTGGAGGTCTCCTAAATGGCTTAGGAGTGCCTACAGGTATGGTGGCTGGCCCTGGGTTGCCCAGGTGAAGGCTGAAGGCCTGGTGACACCCACTCTGAGATGGTCCCTTCCGTGCCAGGTGGAGTAGTGCCTCAGCCTGGAGCAGGACTTGGAGCTGGAGTAAAGCCTGGGAAAGTGCCGGGTCAGTGTGGAGTCCCTGGGGCTGGACAATAGGGTCGGGGAGGGGTTGAGGTCCCCACCTCCTTACTGGGTGGGAAAGCTGGGCCTGGCTGCCGCAGGGCAGGGAAGAGAGCCAGGCCCAAAGTGTGGTGCCATGCTTGAAATTGGGGAGATGGTCCCAGCCTACCTCCTCAGACCTTCTTCCAGGTTCTTGGAACAGAAAGAGACCTCAGGGACAGGCTCTGTATCTGACAATCAGGTGACAGATGGGGACACAGGCTCAGAATGGAGAGTCAGTGCAGAGGGCTCTTGGTGGTCACAGCAGAGACAGGGTGGCCCAAGGTGCCTTGATTCCCCATCTGGTGCTCATTCCTCGGCACCAAGCCCTTGACAAAGCGACTTCAGGTTAAACAAAAGCCTGCCTGAGTCTGCACAGCAGGAGGGAACATCTGGAAGCTGTTAGCCCAGAGGTGGGCTGGGCTGGCCATGTAAACATGCTCTAGGAGACATGATAAATCCACGCAGAGAAGAGTTTGCAGATGACTTTTGAAACTCATGGGAGGAAGGCCGCAGCCACCACATATGGGTCCCTGGCTGCCCCCGCAGAGCACGGGGGTGGCTGCTGTGTGAGCACGGGAGCAGTGGAAGGAAGGGCCGGGGAGGGGCTCCTGGAGGCTGGGTCGCTGCTCATGGCTCCTCCTCCTTTTGGCCACAGGTGTGGGGCTACCAGGTGTATTCCCAGGTGGAGTGCTCCCAGGCGCAGGTAAAATCAAAGAAGGGAAAGGGACCCTGTAGCAAGGAGACCATCTTGTGGTAGCCTCCTTGGTGGCCTCTCACCCCCCTGCAAGCCAAGGCCACCAGAACCCTTGGGTCCCTAAACATCAAAGCTCAGGCTAAGGGACACAGGGCCCCTCTCCTCCTTCCCCACGAAAGCCAGTCAGCTTCTCCTTGCCCCACCCAAGCCCTGACCCCAGGCCCAGAACCAGATCATTGACACAGCCTGAGGTAGGCCCCCAAGGACACACCAGACCCCCAGTGTAGCCAGCTGATTCCCAAAAGCCATGAGTCACCAGGGAGCCCGCCCAGAGCACCCGCCCCGCAGGAGACCCTCGAAGCTGCCCTCTCACCCTCCTCTCCCTGCCAGGGTCTAGCCACCCCACCCAACATGTGACCTCCTGAATTCCCCCAAAAGCCCAGGCTTAGGCTGTTCTGCGATATTTGTTGACAGTGTCCCTCCCTCTGTCCCTCTGACCGAGGTAGCCCAGTCCCAAGGGAGACAGGAGAGGTGGGAGCACCAGACACTGGCAAATGCAGAGTTTCCGGCCACAGCAGATGGCTGTGTGTGTTTGGTTGTGAATGCATGTCAAGCAACGGCCCCGAAAGGGCATAGGCTCCCACTTCATGCCAGCTTTTACTGTCTGTCTTCTCTGGAGAGGGTGGCCAGAAATTCATTCCAGCTTAGAGACGAGGCCAACTGAGGCACAATATCACAGAGCTAGGAAATGGGATTAAAATTCAGTTCTTCTGAGTCAGACAAGGAAGGGAAGTCACCACTAAACAGCCCCCATCCCACATGAGCTGTTTGTCACTGGCGGTCAGTGCAGAAAGAGGTCAACTGTGTGACCCAAGGGGTAGTGAGGGTGCCAGGCTGGCGGGGCCTTCGAGGGCTGCCTTCCCACCCTCACTGCCAGCGCCCCCCTTTGCCCCCTCAGGAGGTCGGTTCCCAGGTGTGGGGGTGCTCCCTGGGGTTCCCACTGGAACAGGAATCAAGCCCAAGGCCCCAGGTATGTAAACAGCGGGCTGGGGACCCACGGTGGAAGCCTGCACCCACTCTCAGGCCCTTGTGGCGGTGGAGAACGGGAGTGGGGTTGGGGACCCTGGGCTCAGTGCCCTGCGGGTGGGCACCCCTTGTGCTCCAGCCCTGGTACAGCTGGCAGAGATGGACAGAACACCTCTCAGAAATCCTGAGTGTATGTGAGGGCAGCATAAGCCAGGAGATGTGGGTAGAACCGGCCACTCCTCGGGCCGGCCCACCTCTCTGTGCTGCCTGGCACCAGTCATTGGCGCCTCGGTACCCTGCGCCCATGGTAGAAGGGCTACAGTGATGGCTCCTCATCATTACAGGTGGAGGCGGAGCTTTTGCTGGAATCCCAGGTGAGGCAAGGCAAGAATCCCCAGTGGGTGGGCAGGCGAGCACGCTGGCCAGCCAGGCAGGGGCTCTGCCCTGGGAGAGGCTGAGCATTCAGAACCCTATCAGGCCTGTCCTGTTTCCCTCGTGCCTGCAACTCCAGGCCTTGGACTGGCTCCAGTACAAAGTGGCATCAATCACAGGCCTGCTTCCCCAGTCTCAACCCCTCATGGGTAGCCGCCCACATGAGCCCGGAAAACCTACCAGTCTGTGCCAAATGCTGCAAGGGCTGCAGACCCCAACTGTGGAAGGGAGTGGATTCTGCAGCTTTCTGTAGGAAATGGCCCAGCACTGGCAGGACTTAGATGACCAGTTGACAGCAAGGCAGGAACACCCTCTAGGCAGGATGGTTTCTGGATGCAGTGGGAGCTCATTTTACCTGAGCAGAAAGTAGAGAGTGAGGCTGGGGGTTCAGCAGGAGCTGCTGGTCCAAGTTGCTAGGACCTGATTTTGCTCCCTTGTTCCCAAAGGAGTTGGACCATTTGGGGGTCAGCAGCCTGGGGTCCCCCTGGGGTACCCCATCAAGGCACCCAAGCTGCCAGGTAAGTCAGAAGGAGGATTCAAGAGGCTCTTACTCACCGGGTCTCACTGCTGAGAAGGCAGCTTGTGGGCGGCCCTGTTTTGGCCACCAGTGTCTCCTGCGGGGGGCGTCAGGAAACCTGGGTACTGAACCTCACTTCTGATCACCTGCAGAGGAAAACCTGGGGAAGCCATCCCGCAGGTGTTGGTCTCACTCGTGTGCACACCTGCGCACACACACACAGGCACACAAAGGCATCAAGACCCAGGGCCTTGATAGGAAACCATTTGCGTTGATGGGAAGAAACACTGTTCATCGGAAAAAGACCACTCTGACATCAACACCCCCTCCGCCAGCTTACACAATGAGATGTTTCTTATTAGGGAGGGGAGTAAGGGAGCTCTTCAGACACTAGGGACCTGGCAGGGTACCCCATCTCCCTTTCCCACCCAGGGCCTCTGCTCTCTTGAGAGTCTCTATGAGCTGCTTATGACCCTTGAGAGGGTCTCAGGCCTCTGCAACTGTGGGAATAGGTCTGTCCACCAAGGTAGTGGGAGCCCAGCAAGGCATGGGGCTGCCATGGGGCAGTGCCTGAGCCCACCCTACCCTCTCCTCAGGTGGCTACGGACTGCCCTACAGCACTGGGAAACTGCCCTATGGTGAGTAAAGCCCTCCAAGGCTGACAGGCTTCCGGCTCCTTCCAGATGCAGGGTCCTGGCAAGGAAGCTGCAGCCCCAGCCCCGGGCTAGGAGAGCACCCAGCTGGGGGTGGGAGTGGAAAGGAAATTCCCTAAGGAAGGAACGTGGAACTTGGACTCAGACAGCTTGGTTCTCAATCCTGGCCCTCACACTTATCATCAGGCTCTGGGAGAACCAGCTTGTTCTCTGAGCCTCAGTGTCTTAGTCCGTACAGTGGAAGTAACCATCCCTTACACACATTTGAATTTGTTTTAACTCTGGCTGGGGGTGACAAGTAGAGACTCCGGGTAGCCCAGCCCCTGAAGGGCAGGGCCGGGGGCAGCTACAGTGAGGTCAGCATGGATGCCCCGTGAGCCTCTCCGTTTTATAGGCTACGGACCTGGAGGAGCTGCTGGTGCCGCGGCCAAGGCTGGGTACCCAACAGGGACAGGTAAGGAAAGCCTCACCCCGCTGCCAGCCAAAGGGGCCGTGATCACCCAGGCTCCAGAGCTCTAGAGCTGGCCAGGATCTCTCTAGAAATCAGACCAGTCCACCCTGCATTCAGACCCCAGTCTTTGCCTGGAGAAAGATCCTGGGTGGGGCAGCCCTATCAGTCTCTGCTGGCTACGAAGCCCCCCACCTACATGTGAACAGGTGGTTCTCCTACGACTGGAACAACAGGGCTCTGGAGAGTCAGGGGCACAGTTTTCAGTCTCTCTCCTTCCTCTCCTTCAGGGGTTGGCCCTCAGGCTGCCGCAGCAGCAGCAGCTAAAGCAGCAAAGTATGGTGAGTACTTCTGGAGTTCCTAACTGCTAGCCCCTAGCCCCCCAACCTCGCCATCCCTGTTACCAATGAGAGCCTGCCTCACAGCAAACCAACCAAGGCAGCTCCTCCCCAGCCCACCCCCATTTCTCCACCTTTTTCAACACCACCCATTCCTTCCTTCCTCCCTCCCTCCATTCATTTATTCTTCCCCCATCCCTCTCTCCATCATCCATCCATCCATCTGTCCGTCCATCCATTCCTCTATCCATTCCTTTATCCACTCCTCTATCCATTCATTTCTCCCTCCCTCCATTCTTTCATCCATCCACTCACCCAACTAATTATCCCTCCTTCCCTCCTTTTTAGAGACGAGGTACAGGTAAGAGCTTTGCTGGAGACTGCAGGCCTTAAAATATAGGTGGAGTTGGCCCTGTGGTTAAAAAAGGAAGAAGGGGCCCGTGTAGAGGGAACGAGTGCTGTGGTGGTTAGAGTGATTATTTTAGGTGGGACCTATATGAGCATTTTAAAAATTTAATAGTTTAGTACCAATTTAGTGCATACTATAAAAATTTTTAACTAGCTCCTCAAGCTCATGATGTCTTGGCTGGCAGACACGGCATGGCCTTCCCTGTACCCACGAGGTGAGCAGAGTGGACATCTGTCCCCCTGCACCGGGTAGTCCCAGTCCCAAGACAGATCACTGGGGCTAATGTCTTCACCTTCATCCCCAGTGCCAGGGGAGCCCTTCCTGTCGTCATGGTGGGACAGAAAACATCTGCCCACCAGCCAAGCGGGTGAGAATGTAGAGGGAAGCACTAGGCTGGAAGCCTGCCCCAAGGAGGCCCCACAGACCCTCCCTCTAGGCCCCTAAGGGTGGAATGTGGGAGCAGGAGAGCAGGGCGGTGAGGGGCTGCCAGACCCAGGCAGCCAGGCGCTTGGATTACAAACTTGGCCGAGTCTTCGGAACACAGGGAGAGGAAGCCTTGAACATTCCTACAGGGGCCCCTCTGGCCCGGGGAGCGGCCGCTTGTGGTTTCTCAGTATGTGGCAGTGATTAGAATGGGATTTGTCTGAAAACATACAAGTCCCTTAATGAGCGTGTTGAAATGGACACTTTGGGGGTGAGTCAATGAGCAGTGGGGTGGGGACCTTCTCAAGCAGGCTCACTCAGAGATGCCTGGGCCTCATTCCCAGAGGAGATCGTGCTGGTTTAAATGCCAGCATCTAAGTGGCCTTTCTTCCTGGCCTCAGGAGGGGCCCTGGGAGCTATATCTGAACTATCCCCATCCCAGCAGGTGCTGGAGGAGCCGGAGTTCTCCCTGGCATTGGAGGGGCCGGTGCAATTCCCGGGATTGGAGGCATTGCAGGTAAGTGTCTATTCCAGCAGGGGGCGGGGTGTCCTTGAGAAGGCCCCCAGGGAAAGATCTCACCCGCTGCGGCCCTCTTGTCTCTCCAGGGGCTGGGATTCCGAGTGCTGCTGCTCAGGCGGCTGCTGCGGCTGCTAAGGCAGCTAAATATGGTGAGTGCCCCCAGGGAAGGCAAGCCCAGGGCTCCAGCCGGCCCTCAGACCCTTGGGGCCTGTTCAGTCCTCCAAGGTTGGGTAGACTTTGCTTTCATCCATCTGTGGAAACTTCACTTCCACCTCCCCAAACATGGGTTTACCCATTCTGGCCACTTTGCCTGGCCCTCTTTGTTGTTCTCCACTGATTGGCCCAGCAGTGAGGTGGGACCATTGCGGAGCGTCTGGCTCCTTCCACACTACTCCCAAGGCCAACCCATAGCTGCTGCACTCACTGCCTGTGTGCTAGTGGTATGCTCCGAATTCGCTTTAGACATAGACCATGCTCTTCCACCCACAGAGCCAAACACTTAGAGCTCTGTAGGCAGTGCCAGCCCATCTGGGACTCTGCACTCAGTACCTGCCACTCTCACAGCTCCCAAGAGCCAGGCCCTTGGAGGCCCTCTGAGATTCCCACAGGATCCAGGCCAGAACAGACCTTTCCTTCCACAGGAGCTGCTGGAGGCTTGTTGCCTGGTGGCCCAGGAGTTGGAGTCCCTGGTGTTGGAGTCCCTGGGGTTGGAGTCCCTGGTGTTGGAGTCCCTGGTGTTGGGGTCCCAGGTGTTGGAGTCCCAGGTGTTGGAGTCCCTGGTGTTGGAGTCCCTGGTGTTGGGGTCCCAGGTGTTGGGGTCCCAGGTGTTGGAGTCCCAGGTATTGTGGGTAGACCAAGTGTGCTGGGCTCTGTGTGTGTGTGTGTGTGTGTGTGTGTGTGTGTGTGTGTGTGTGTGTGTTTAAGAGAAATATTGAAACTATTGCCAAGACTTTTAGATTCTCCTTAACATTTCACTCATCTATCCTCTTCTCCCGTACCCTTGGCCATGACTCATCTTGCCCTTAGGCTATAACAACCTCCTAACTAGTAACTGCCAGCATTATCTTCTCCAACTAACCTCTGGCTGTCAGTGTGATTCTGGGGGAAGAAGCCATGACTTTGTCATCTCTATGTTCTCTTCCCTTAGCTAAATAGATGCTCAGTAACTGGTGGGTAAATAGGTGGGTGGATGTATGGATGGATAGATGGATGGATGGATGGATGGATGGATGGATGGATGGATAGATGGGCAGAGGGGCAGCTGGGTATATGGGAGAATGCCCATGTGGATGAGTAGAGAAGTTGATGGATAAGAGGATGAATGGACAGATACAAGGATGGATAAATAATGAAAGAATAGATACATGGGTAAAACAGTGGATGGGGAGATGAATGGATAGATGGAAAGACAGGTGAAAAGGCAGGTGAGAGACTCCATAAGTGGTTAGAATGATGGGTGGTGGATAGATGAAGGGATGGACGAGCACATGGTTAGATGAACAGGTGAATAGATAAATGGTAGGAGGCAATGCAAAATGGATGGCTGGATAGATAGTTCGATGAATGTTTAGATGAATGAATAAATAGATGGATAGATGGGTGCATGAATGGACAGAGAGATAAGCAGCTGAGTGGCTGGATTGAAGTCTAAGGATAGACAAACAAATGGACAGGCACAATGGACAGGTAAGTGGATGGATGAATGGGTGGCTAAGTACATTAATGAACAGGTGGAGACGTGAGTGAGTAAACAGATAGACATCCATTGGGTTGGCTCGATAGAGATAGACTGGACAGATGAGTGAGAAGTAAATGTATATTGAGCATCTCTCCTCCATTCTCTCCTAATCACTTGTGTCCCCTTGGGTCTCTCCAGGGGCTGTGTCACCAGCTGCAGCTGCTAAAGCAGCCAAATATGGTGAGTGCACTGATTGCTCTGCCTCACCCTGCCCTGTTCTGGCCAGAGAAAGGGCACGACTTGCCCAGGGTTATACATCAAGTCACTGGCAGAGCTGGGAAGTTGGACTGTTGGGCCCCAGGATGATGTCTCCCCCAGTGGTCTCCCACCATGAGGCCATGGAGCTGAGTGATAGGAGAGTCCTCTAATGGCATTCCCAGTGGGGACAGTGTCTCCGACCTTCCCTGCCCCAGCCAGGGCCCCTCTCAGAGGAGCCAGAGCCTGGCTGGGGAAATGGAACCTGCCCACAGCCTCTCCACAGCCAACAAAGCGGCCCTATCCCAATCCGTGAAGAGAGGGTTGGGGAAATGCTGAGGGAGGTTATCAATAAAGGCTTCCTGGAAAAGGCTAGCAGGGGCCCAAGCATTCTATGGTTTATTGTCCTTCAAGGACTAGATTTGGGTGAGGCTTGCACCTACTTTCCCAGCCCACCAGCATCCCCCAGGACCCTCCCAGCCTCTCTCATTGAGATCCTTTTCTGTCCAATTCCCCTCCCTCCAAAGGGGTAGAAGCAGAGTGGGAGTTGGAGGTATTCCCACTCACGGGGTTGGTGCTGGGGGCTTCCCAGGTCTTGGAGCCGTCCCTGGAGCTGTCCCTGGAGCCATCCCTGGGGTTGTCCCTGGAGCCATCCCTGGGGTTGTCCCTGGAGCCATCCCTGGAGCCGTCCCTGGAGTTACTGTCCCTGGAGCCATCCCTGGAGCCATCCCTGGAGTTGTCCCTGGAGCCATCCCCGGAGTTGTCCCTGGAGCTGGCATTTCCCGTGAGCCCTAGTTCCATCTGGGGAAACCGGGAGAAGGCATGGGGGCTTCTCTTCTGTAGGGCTCTAGAGGGGATGGAGGAGTGTTGACTAGAGGGGATTCAGTGTGCTGGGGGGGGGGGGAAGTTGGGGGAGAGCGCAGGGAGGGCCTGCAGTGCCTCTCAGGGCAGGAGAGCAAACAGCACAGCTCCACTGAGACCCAACAAGGTTTCTGAGGGTCTCTTTCATTTCCTTGTAGCTGCAGCAGCCGCCAAGGCAGCCAAGTTTGGTATGTGGCCCCGCCCTGCATGCCCCCATGCCCAGAGCAGTATTCTTTGCTCCTGGGGAGCACCCTCCCCTTCTCGCTACCCCAGCCCTGCCCTGCCCTGCCCTGGGGCCCAGGCTCTGAGCTCAGAGCAACTCCCCAGCAAGAGGACAGAGCAAGCTCACACCCCGGCCTCCAGGACTGAAATGGCTTTGGCTAAGATTGGAAGCCCCTGGCCCGATCTTCTTTTCTTAAAGCCACGCCAGACCTTCCTGCCCGTCTCAATTCACCCCCATTAGGATTATTGGCGCCCAGTTTATCACCCCACCCCAAACCAGTGAGTTGAAGGTGCTCACTGAAGCCATTGCAGCCATTCTGGTCCCCACCCCACCCCCACTCTCTGCTCCCTCAAGGAGGGGGAGCTTTAAGGGGCACAGCTGGATGCTCTTTCTTTATTCCTCTAGGTGCTGGAGGAGCAGGAGCCCTGGGAGGGCTGGTGCCAGGTGCTGGAGGTGTAGTACCCGGTGTACCAGGTGCTAGAGGGGTGCCAGGTGAGCTGTGTCCCCAACCCAGGCACGGGTTTGGTTTGTCTCATGGAAGGGGCCCTGGAGTTGACCCAGGTCAAGTGCACCATTTTATAGATGGCAAGGCTGAGCCCAGAGATGGAGCAGAGGAAAGCAATGTCCCCTAGTTTGGAGGGAAGACCCTTTTTGGACTTCCAGTCTGCTGAAAGAACCTGGCAAATCCCTCCAGTGGGGATGCTCAAGATACCTGGCTGTCAACCAGCTGGGCTGCGGGGCTCTGCTCTGTCAGAGTGGGGTGGCCTCATTTCCTTTGGGGTCCTTTCTGTTGCTCATCAGCTGGAAGGGCCCATGTCACCCTTCGGTTCCCCCGCATTCTTTATCCTCCACCAGTCACAGGCCAAAGGGAAGAAATTAAGAGTTACAATAAGATGAAGTTACAACCTTCCTTGGTTGTTTTTTCCTACCAGAGTTCTCATCTACATCCCATCTTCTTTCTGGGAGAAAATTCCCCTTTTGAGGTTCCCTCCAAAATGAAATATTTCCTCGAACAGTTTTGCATACAGGCACAATGAAGATTTTTGAAAATTAACATCCCCTTTAGCAGAAAGCTTTACAAGTCTTTTAGGCAGAGGCTTGGAAACTGCCAGTCACAGCCTTGGGCTGCCACCACTGTAGTCCCAGCTAGACTGTCGCCATCTGTGGGCTGTTTTCAAGGAAGGGATGTGCCCAGGGCAGCCAGTGGGCCATCCTCAGAGCAGGCCTGGAACCCAGGCGGCCGCCTCGGGTGGGGCTCTGTGTGCTTCTCTGGCTCTCCCCAGCATGAGGAGGCAGCCCCAGAGAGGGTCTTCTGGGAGAGGGGATAGCTCCCCAGAGGGGGACTCTGGGATGTCTTTCCAAAGTGGGGGTGGGGGAGAGTGAGGTGGGGTGCAGGGGACCCCTTCGCAACCCTCTCCCTTCACCCTTCCAGCTCCTGGGACCCCAGCTGCTGCAGCCGCTGCAGCAGCCGCTAAAGCCGCCCAGTTCGGTAAGGGCCCCACCCAGCTCTGCTCCCCGTGCTCCTCCTAGAGCGCTGCTCCCTCAGGTCCCCTGAGCAGGGGTCTGGCAGCCCCCTCACGCTATCATATTCTCACTGTGGGCCTTTTGACTGATCTGACCACTTTCAGGGGTGTGGGTAAAGTCTCTAATTAGGAAAGTGAAGTGAGAACAGGCCTGGTGAGCCCCCCAGGACCAACCTCCCCACCCTTCCCAAAGCTCCTGCTGGCTGAGGCTAACTGGGGCCTGCCCCTCTTTTGGACCTCAAGTGGGGATCCTCCGGTCCCCACCCTGCTTGGTAGCCGTGTTTCTCTTTCCCTGACAAGGTTTTCCCTCTCTCAGTACTTCTGAGGGCCGCCCTGGCAGCCCCATGTGCCTACGCCTTCCTGAATAGAGCAAATGGCAGTGGCCCCACCTTAGAGCTGAACTGCCGGTCAGGCCTGGGCCAGGGCATCTACACACCTTGGCTTTAGGGACCTGTGGGTAGGAAGATTCAGATCAGAAAATCCAAGGCTGTCTAGGCCAGAGAAAATCTTAATTTCTGGTCCACTGACCCCCCCAAACTCACATGTGACAAACGACCCCTTTTTTGTAAAGCTGCCATTTGCTGAGGCAACCCTTACGGCAAGTTTATGAAGCCGGTACCATTATCCCCCATTTACAGATGTGGTCACTAAGGTTCTGGGAGCTTAAGTAACTTTCCCATCTTTACACAGCTAAATGGTAGCTGAGCTGAGCTTTGAACCCATGTCTGTCAGTCTTGCAGAGCACCCTTTACTACATAACTCTGCCTCCATTACCCTCAGAAGTCTCAAACAGGTCCCTGTCACTCCAAAGGTTAAGAACTCCTGATCCTACACATGCCTCATATTAGGGGTGAGGAAGCTGAGGCGCATCAAGGGAAAATCAACTGTCCAAGATCATACAGCCATTCTGTGCCCCACCTGGGATGAAAACCCAGGACTCCTGATTCCCAGCTTGCTGCTCTTTCCATTGGCTTCTGTCCTCCTTGGTTGGGACTGGGTTAAGGATTAGTTCTTCTCACTCTTGTAGGGTTAGGCCCCGGCGCTGGCGTGGTTCCCGGCGTTGGCATTGGCCCCGGCGCTGGTGTGGTTCCCGGCATTGGCCTTGGCCCCGGCGGTGTTACAGGTGAGCTGTGTGGGAAAGTGGGCCTGAGGGGCCTCGGAGTCCTCTCTGGGTGACATCCCTGATGCCCGCTCCCTCTCCTTCCAGGAGTAGGGACGCCAGCTGCAGCCAAATCTGCTGCTAAGGTGGCCGCCAAAGCTCAGCTCCGTGAGTGCCCTGTCTGTGTTTCCCTCCTCACCCCACCAAGCCCAGGCTGGCCCAGCACAACCCAAGCAGGAGCTGCGCCCCACAATATGCAGCTTCTCAGGCCAACCACGCCGGCTTGGGGGTCCCCAAGGCAGCAGGCAGAGAGGTGGGAAAAGCAGATTTAGTGTAAGGGAGGCCCAGGTTTAAATCCCAGGCCCCACACTAACTGAGTGACTGACTTCTGAGTTTCCTGTCCTCGTGCATGACAAGTGAGTGCTGATGGCGTCTGCTGCAGAGGCTGTTGGGAGCATTAGATGAGCTCATCCAAGAGGGAAGAGTGGTAGGTCAGGCTGGAAAAGAAAGTGATGTAGCGAGTATGCAGTCCTGAATACCGACTGGGGGAGGGGCTGGACTTGGTGTTCAGTGGGAGTTTTAGGAAGGTCACCCTGGTGGGAGCACAGAGGGTGGATTAAGGGGGCCTAGTCCCCTTCCCTTGGGGCCTAACTCAGCTCCGCGGGCAGGACGCCCCCACAGGGGCATGCTCCCTGCCTGCTGTCGCCACCCCCCACTCATCTTCCCCAGGGGCTGCAGCTGGGCTTCCTGCTGGCGTTCCCGGATTTGTACCTGGTGCTGGCGTTCCCGGATTTGTACCTGGTGCTGGTGTTCCTGGATTTGTACCTGGTGCTGGCGTTCCTGGATTTGTACCTGGTGCTGGTGTTCCTGGCTTTGGGGCAGGTGAGGGTCCTTCTAGGCTGGGCAGAGATGACCCCTGAGCTCAGGAGAGAGAGATTTCTCCCCTCCCAGCACAACCCCCAGCACCTGATACAGGGGCTCATAGTAAATTCTCCATTAGGTTCTCCTGAGCAGGCAGAGATGACTAGGGTAACAGATGGGGGGCAAACCAAGCAAGGATGCCCCAGGCCGACAGATATCAGAGTCGCTACCTCCTCAGTGGAGGGGTCACAGGGCTTCGAACGGAAGAGAAGCCCATCATCCAGGGGAGGAAGTTGGAGGTCCCTGGGCTCCACCGACACGGGTGGGCCAGCCTGGCTCCCCTTCAGTAGCGTGCTGCGGCAAGGGCCTCTCGGAGCTTCCAGTTCTTTGGTGGTTACGGACCCTGCTCTGCGTCCAGCCTCAGGCAGACTGCACTGCACCTGACGGGGAAGATGGGAGGAGGAGGCACAGTTCAGCCCTCAAGCACCCCCAGGCCAGAGGCAGAGGCAGGGTTAGACACTGGAGATCGACCTGGCAGGAGGAGCTCCTGGCTGGGGAGCCATGGCTTCAGGGCTTTGGGCGAAGCAAATTCGGCCAAGGAAGGTAGGGAGGGCTCCCAGGAGGAAGCAGAACCCTCAAACACAGAGCTCAGCTATGACCACTCCATATTTTCTTTTTTCCTTTTTCTGTAGGACCTGGAACTCTGGCTGCTGCTAAAGCAGCCAAATACGGTGAGTATCCCACACACTGACCACCGTGGTTGGTTCTACTGCCGCCCCATCATCCCTGGCAGCACCTGGTCACCCATCTCCCCTCCCCCTGGCCCAGGGCCCCATGCCCGGAGCCCGCAGCACAGGGCTGGGATGGTCAGGGTGGAAAAAGGCAGTTTCTAGGACGCATTCACGACAGCTTAGCAGACCTGGCTCCTGCCCACTAAATGCCTATTGAGCCTCCAGCCCTGGGACAACCAAACACACCCCTCACATTTCCAGCCTCCCTGTGGGCAGTTCTACCTTGGTGAAGACTGTGGTCCCTAAAGCACCTCTGGTCATTACAGTTTCATGGGCCTCAGGGCCCCGGAGGGGCCAGGGTTGCTGTCAGTCGGCGGCCTCTGCCTCCTAGCCAGCAAAGGCCCTGGTCCCCCAACCACCTCCCTGTCAGCATGACTGTGCCTGCCACGAGCCACGAGGACGTGGCAGACATGCCTGCCCCTCCACTTGGCGCTCAGCAGCCCTGGCTGGCCAGACCCACACTGTCTGTGGCCCCCAAATTCCTGGCCTCCTGGGAGCCAGGCCAGGGCCTCTGCTAGGGAAACACCAACCAGCCCCTGGCCAGTCCACTTGGGGCCAGATTCCACCTCGGAAAATCCCGGCTTCCTCAGCCCCCACCCCTGGCGGGCCCGGTGACCCACAAGCCCTTCTCCTGTTCCTTGCTGGCTGCTCTGCCAGCCTGAGTCTAGCAGACATTGCCAGGGAAACAAAATAGTTAAGGGCACAGGCTCCAGAGCCATTTCCTGCCTGTGGGACCTCAAGCATACTGCTTAACCTCTGCTGTGCTTGAATTTTCTCATCTGCAAAATGGGGGTGATATTAGTACCCACCTTTGCTATTGCAATGAATAATAAGGATGCTAATTGTGAGAAGCATTAAGAACTGTGGAACTCCTGCCGCTGCTATGCTTAGCAGCTCTGCTCTGGACAGTGGTTCAAAACTCAGAGTACACTAACAGATGGTGTGCTCTTTCCTCTCCAAACACCTGTAGGGTGAGCGGGGTAAGGATCATCACCTCCTTCAGGGAGACGGGGCTCTGGAGCTCAGGGGGGTAACAGCTCTATTGAGCGGGGAAAACAGAATTTGAACTCAGGGCTGTGAGAACCTTAGACTAGTCTTCTCCCCTTGGCAGCTGTGGCCAGCACTTGTGACCACCTGCAGCTCCAGTGCTAGCCCAGGGGGATGGAGAAAAGAAGCGCGGGCCAAGGCTCAAGGGAGCCTACTCTCGCCTGGTTGGTCAGAGACACGGGCCCAGGTGACTGCGAATGGCCTTTTGTCCGGTGCTTTTTCCACTGGTCACATGGCCTCGACCACTTGCCTGCCAGACTAATGTCCCTGGGTCAGGAGGACTCTGTCCTTCAGAAATGGAGAGACTGACTCTCTGCCCCCTCTCCTCAGGGGCAGGAGTGCCGGGGGCTCTTGGAGTGCCGGGGGCCCTTGGTGGAGTAGGTATCCCAGGTGGTGTGGCAGGTGAGTTGGAACCCCAGCACGGGCTGGGCAGGGGGGGAGGCTGACCCGTGGAGCATTGCTCCCTGAGCTCCCTCTGTGTCCCCAGGAGCTGGACCTGCTGCCGTGGCTGCTGCCACCAAGGCTGCTGCCAAAGCTGCCCAATATGGTGAGCGCTGTGTGGAGGTGGAGGCTGCCACCACGTCCCAGGGTTTGGGGAGCCCCTGACCATGCACCGTGGAGCCCTATTCCCTGACCGGCCCTCAGGGGCATTGTCTCCCCAAAGCCCAGCCCCACCTCCTGGCCCCACCGCACCCGCAAAGGCCCTGGAAGCTCAGGCTCCGCCTGGGTTCTGGGTTGAAAACTTCAGCTCTCTTTAGATGAGCAGCAGGGGTCCCACCGGTCGGGTTTTAACACACAGCTCTCTCCACAGGCTTAGGGGGAGTTGGCGGGCTTGGAGCTGGAGGACTGGGGATTGGAGGGCTTGGGCCTGCTGGAGTTATCCCAGGGGTTGGGGGCCTTGGAGGTAAGGGGCTGTTCTGGAATCGGTGAGTTTATGGGGGGGTGTGTGTGTGTGTGTGTGTGTGTGTGTGTGTGTGTGTGTGTGTGTGAGAGAGAGAGAGAGAGAGAGAGAGAGAGAGAGAGAGAGTCTCTCCTTCCCACCTTGCCACATTTTGCTCAAGTTGTCTTCTCTGCCCCCACCCCAACTCCACGGCATCGGCCACTCAAGCTTGCGGTGGGCCTGCCCCCTTCCCTGGGCTCCTACAGCAGTCAGAGGGGGCCTTGGGCGAGCAGAAGCTAGGGCTGCTTCTTGCAGCTGGGATCCCACCTTTTCCCTCTCCTCTTTCCTTCAACTCACATGACCACTTCTAGTGGGAGTTCATTAGGATAATGATGGTTATACCCATTTGCTAGAGAAGAAAACCAGAGCACGGAGGGAAACACTTCTCCAAAGTCTCTGCCATCCTGGTGGGCCTTATGTTGACATTTCTTTCTTGGGTCATCATTTTATCTCCCTACCTAATTCCGCCTGAAGTCTCCTCCTGTGTGCACGGCAGGACTAGACACAGAGTGGGAGCTTGATGAAGACTTTTGGAAAGATGGATGAAGGAGGGGTGGAAGGAGGGTGGAAGGATAACTCGGTGGGCAGATGACAAATGGTGAACAGGACAGAAGGGGCACATGACTGGGAGGGAAGGGATATTCCTGAGCCCTCATGTACCCCCTCTCCCCAGGTGTGTCCCCAGCTGCAGCTGCTAAAGCAGCCAAATATGGTGAGTTGCTCCCTGCTGCCCTCCTCCTGCCCAGGCCTGTAGGCTGCAAAGTAACACTCCCTGTCCTGCCCGCCCCATCTCCCCCACCTCAGGCCCCAGTCCTGTTCGAAGCCCCCCGGCAGACAGCCTGTCCACAATCTTCCTGACCGCAGAACCAAAGGGGATGCTCAGGGCCCCTTGGACTGCGCCTTGTCCCAAACCCCACCCGCCCTCTTCGCAGGTGCTGCTGGCCTTGGAGGAGTCCTAGGAGCTGCCAGGCCCTTCCCAGGTAGGGGTAGGGGCCACCTCTGCCATGAAACCCTCAGCCCTGTCCAGGTCTAGAGAAGGCCTGTCAGGCTGGCAGGGGAAATCCTGGAGCTGTGGCTAAAGCACAAGGACCCAAGCAAGAGGGCAGAGGGGGCCGTCCAGGAGAGGAAGCCTCCTGGGCAAAGGGGTCAGGGGTACACCGTGGGCCTCAGGCACCAGGCTGGCAAGCTGAGGCTATGGGGCCCCACACCCGGGTGCCAGGGAGGGACAAGGTTTGTGAAGAAGCCACTCTGGCTATGGAGGATGGGGAGGGTGGGCAGTGGGGAGGAGGTGGTGCTGGGCAGAGAGGAGGAGAGGACGAGGCCAGAGGGGGGCCTGCCCCATGCTAACCCCAAGTCCCTCCTGCAGGAGTTGGAGCAAGACCTGGCTTTGGATTATCCCCTATTTTCCCAGGTATGCCCCAGAGCCCTGCCCCGGGCCCTCTGCTGCCGCTCTGGCTCCACCCTTCCCCCTCCCATCCTTCATCTCCTGCTCAGAAGGCCTGAGCCAAGCCCTCCAGTGGGCCCCACAACCTCAGTTACACCCGGCTGGCCTCCTCCTTATTCTTTTCTTCCTCCCTTGCAAGGCCAGGGAGCATCAGCTTTTCTAAAACGCCATGTTCCAGATGGAGTAAACTGAGGTTGATAGAGTGCCAGGGGCTTGCCCGAGGTCACACAGTGACTGAGGCAGAGCCGGAGCTCCCAGCACCTAAGCCCAGAATTTAGGTCCTCTCAGGCGAGACCCAAGCTGCCAGGAGGGCTCCCAGGAGTGGCACCCTCACAGCCCCTCTCCTTGCCTTGCAGGTGGCGGAGCCGGGGGCCTGGGAGTTGGCGGTGAGTCTGCAAGAAGAAGGGGTGGGGGTCCCACTTCAAGCAAGGCCCTGAGCTCCCTTACTGGGCTGGGAGGAGAATCCTGTTAAGGGAGTGGTCAGAATGGACACAGCCCTCAGCTCACCCTCTGGTGTGGGGGCTTGAGGAGAGTCACAGAACCTGAAATTCAGCCCTGGGATGTGGGAACAGAGGGCAAGGGTCCTCATTCCTGGAGCTCCCAGCCTGGCACTTGACTGGGCTCCAGCAGTGAGACAGAGACCTTGCAGCTTGGGGTCCAAGCAGAGTGATGGGCAAGTTCCCATAGATAAAGAGACTGTAAGGGAAGAGCAAGGTCCACCAAGCAGGTGGCCAGGGGGTCAAAATTCCCCTGACCCCAGCACATTAGCTGGGGCAAGACTGAGGCGGGGGTCTGGCTGTGGTGTGAGGGGCACCCACCAAGTGGCTCAGACTTCCCTGAGAAGCTGTGATTCGCAAGGCCTTCAGAACCTGCTGTGATAGGACCCAGCCCTGCATGGGGGGGTTCGGGGGGAGGCCGGAAAGCCTGGCCCCTCCCCAATCCCCACCTCTCCCTCCACAGGCAAACCTCCTAAGGCCTAGGGAGGAGCCCTGGGAGCCCTAGGATTCCAAGGCGAGTAGAGCCCCCAACCCCAGCAGAAAGCAGAAAGGGGCGGGCACAGACAGAGGCAGGGGCGGGGGTTCATCAGTACGGGAGAGGGACAAGCACATCTGGACTCGGCCTGGAAGGGGGTGGGGAGGTCGGAGGAGCTGGACGCCTCGCCCATTCCCTCTTCTGCCTCTGACACAGATGATCAGGCCTGGGACTAGGCCCAGGACTCTCCAGGCTCCCCCTGGTCCGGCCTGGTCCGGCCTGGCCTGGCTTGGCCTAGCAGTCCCAGCCTCCCTGCTGCTCACACACACCCCTGCAGGAAGGAGCCAAGGGAAAGAGAAGGAAAGAGGGAAGAACTCGAAGGAGCAGAGACAGAGAGAGAAATGGATGAGACAGTGGGAGCCCTAGACTTAGGGAAATCTGAAGGGTGGTAGCAGGACCAAAGGTGCCTAGACTGGGCAGAGTAGGCAGAGGCCACCCCCTGGCACTGAGCCATATGCTTGCTCAAAAACGCACTCCTCTGCAAGTGTGTGGGGTGGGTCCTGGTCACCGCCTCCCAAGTGCCTCCCAACAATACCCAAAGGAGACCCACAGAAGTGCCAGCTCCACCCCTGTGGCTGCTTGGACTATGGGTTCCCTTCCACCACCACCTGCTTCCCACTACACAGATGAGGCAGCTGAGGCAAGGCCAGGGCTAGGAGAGGCAGAAGCAAGACCAGCCTGGTCCCCTACCAGGGTGCCTAGTGAGGCCTGTGGCCCTCTCCCATTGCTTTTCCAAACACCCTGGATAAGCTTCTTAGAGCTGCTTGTCCCTGCCCCAGTTGGCTTCTTGCTGCCACCAGGTGGCAGTAACAAGCCATGTCTCTCTCCCAAAGGGATGGGAGCTCCACTGGGTGCCAACTACCAGACAGTGTTGCCTTGATTAGAAACAAGGTTTACCAACCAGACCCTCCCCAGGAGAGGGCAGGAATTCTGGGTTCCAGTCCCAGAACAGCCACTGACTGTGGATGAGTAAGGCTCTCCCTCTCTCCCTCTCTCTCCCCCTCCGCTCTGCCTCAGTTCATCTATCTGAGGAACTCTCACGTTTCTCCAACACACCATTTCCCCTGATGGGGGCTGCCCTGAGCCACTTGCTAAAGGCTTCCCAAATGCAGTGAATTCAGGGTATAGAGACCTTGTCCAGGCCCAGTCCGTCCAGGCCCAGCCCTTCCCAGACTTGGCACCAGGCCCCCTGGCCTTTTCCCTTCTCTGAGCCCTGTTTTCATCAACCCCATCCTTGAGCCCTGGTCCTACCACCTGCCCCGCGGGAGTTTGTGCAGTGAGAGTTTGGTGCAGTCCAGGCTTCTGGCGGCTTCTTGGAGACCCTGTTCCCCACTGCGATGATGTTGGTCAGTGGCGGTGGCATGAGCAGCACAGAGGAGGGGCTGGGCTAACTGTTGCATATGCCCCCTCCCACCCAGGTGGGGCCTGCCTGGGGAAATCCTGTGGCCGGAAGAGAAAGTGAGCTTCCCAGGACCCCTGACTCACGACCTCATCAACGTTGGTGCTACTGCTTGGTGGAGAATGTAAACCCTTGTGACCCATCCCCCCACGCCCCCTCCTAAGTCCCCACCTCTGGAGGGGACAGAGCTGGCCGGGCGGACTTGGAAATCCACAGGACAAGGAAACAAGAGAATGGTGGCCAAGTGGGCCCCGGGAAGCCCCCTACTTCAGAGGCAAGGGGTAGGTGGGCTTGGCCCCCTGCCCCCACCCCCTTCCCACCAAGGTGCTCCCTCCACACACTCTCCATCTCCAGGGGAACTTGGTGCTAAGTGCTGGTGCTTTCATCTTCCTGGGGGAGGGAGGCGGGAGGGGCAGCCCCTCAGGAAGCCTCCTCCCTGGGGCTCCTCTGAAAATGGTGCAGACACTTCCTGGGCAGTCCTACCTCCCCCTGCCCACCAGGACCCACCCCTGGCTGCAGTCCAGTTGGTACCCAATCATCAAAAACCTCAGGCTGGATTCGGTCACACCATCTCTTGGCCCCTTTGACGCCTCTTCCCCCCACCAATCGCTATTCCCCGTTTCTGGGGCACCTTCAGATCGGAAGAACCCCAATGCGAATAGCCCTCTTTCTCTTGTGGAATTCATCCGCCCATCCATCCATCCCTCCATCCATCCTTGTCCCCAGTTGACCGCCTGGCACCACAAGCTGGCCGGGCACCCTACCATCAACCTGGTTAACCTGCCATGACAGCCTGTGCCCTGCCCTTCGCCCCACTACACACACCCCTGCAAAGGGGCCCGGGGTGTGGGGGCTGTGCCAGCTGGGGTGGCAGGAATCTCCTCCCCAACCTGGGTTTCCCCCACGCAGTACTGTATCCCCCGTCCCTCCCTCGAGCCACTGTACTTCACAGCATTTCCCGCCCCTGCCCTGCCCATCTCTTTGTGTCTCGCTGTGATAGATCAATAAATATTTTATTTTTTGTCCTGGATATTTGGGGATTATTTTTGATTGTTGATGTTTTCTCTTGGTTTTACTTTTGTGGTTAATTGAAAAAAATATATTTTTCTGATCTGGGGAGCTATAACCCCAGTGGAAAATTCATTTTAATCACTTTGGTATAACTCTGGATGAAACACATTTTTTTAAATAAGAAAAGAGAATTAACTGCTTCAAAAAAAGACTAATAAATGAAAACATTTTAAAGGAAACTGCGTCTTAGCCTCGTTTGTAACCACTCGTCTTCTGGCAGCTCCTGGACCAGGTTGGGAAATGAGGCTTGGCCTTGGGGAGCCTCCATGGTTCAGAGTGTCTTTGGGGGGCTGCTCGCCAGAATCCCCTGCCGTTGGCTTCTGGTGTGTGATCCCTCCCCAAGTTTAGATCCCCGTTAAACAATGACAGCCTCTTTGTAGGGGAAGCAGGGCTGGCCAACCCCCCCGACCCACACCTGCCTAGAGGCGGGGGTCTCCTCTGGAGGTGGGCTAACCTCCCCACCCACACCTTCCCCAGCCCCGCCCCACAGGACTAGGATGAACACAGGGTCTGTGGACAGCCTCGGAGCGCGAAGGGCGCACCTGGAGGGGCGGAGTAAACAAAAATGACCCTTCTATCCAGACCAAACCCTTGGCCTTAGTGAACAGCCACACAGAAAGGAGAAAATGCTCCCACCTAAGAAAACTGTAAGACAGGTGTTCCTCTGAAACACGCACTCTCACACAGAGCCATACAAGGAACCACTTCACTGCTTTGTAAAACGTAACAAACGTCACCCTGCGGGCGGCACTGGGAGACTCAGTACCACTCCTACGTGTACCCACCCCCAGGGACATCCCCCTCCCTTTGGGGCCAGAAATCCATGGGGCTTGAGGACACACCTACGACTCCCTCCTAGACTATTCTGGACACGAGATTCTGGAATTCCTTTCCCAAACCACGAAATTCACTTCCAGGGACCACATGGTCTCGTGCCACACATGACCTTCTGAGGGCAGACCCATGGCTATTGACACACCCCTAAGCCAGAAAGGTGGCCCAGGAGCTATTTTCGGGAGTGTGGGTGGAGTAGGCAGACTAAACGACCTTGTATTTGTGCCCAAGGACCGTTGCAGTGCCAGAGGGAGTTGGGCTGAAAAGAGGAAAGGGATGGGATGATGCGCAGAGGTAGAGGGTACTAGAGCACAAAAAGCAATCTATCGGGCAAAGAATCAAGCAGGGACGAGGGCTGTGCCTTTCCGGCAGGGAGAGCAGCCTGTGTGAAGGCCTAGAGGGCAGGACTGGGAGAATGGCCCAGCGGGACGAGAAAGAGGGAGGATGGATCTGAAGTTGGTAGGGGTGGACTCACAGAGACCCACAGGGGGCTGCTGTGATAATACGGGAGCAGTGACAGCTTGCCCAAGAAGTGGCAAAGGAGATTCATTCGTTCATTCGTTCATTCACTTATTCCTTCAACAGACTATCCCTTGCTGATCCCTCTTTAGTTCTCTGGTCTCCGAAATTTG